TTTCTTTAAAAATTAAATCACTTTAGTATATTCATAGTCATATTGATTGCAACAGCAAGACAGAAGACCTTTCTGTAAAAATACTGTGATTTCCAACAGAAATGTGACATTAATGGTGTATATTATGTAACCCCCACAGAGCTGCCACAACAGAGAAAAAAGAGATGTACACACAAAGACTACATTAGCACCCCAGGGTCTCTCTGGAAATGCTGTTGTCTCTGCTGGGCCAATCATCACAAGAAGTGGTAATACATTTCATCATATCTAAAAATTAAAATGTTTCTATTCAACCAGTCTATCTATCTATCTATCTATCTATCTATCTATCTATCTATCTATCTATCTATCTATCTATCTTTCTAGCAATATCTACTTTCTTTCTATCCAATCCTATCAAGTTGAGATTTCTAAAAAATAAATAAGTAAATAAAGGGAGAGGCAGACTCCTCCTTGTCTCAACATTTGATTGGTCTTCAGGAAAAATGTAATCAAATATAAATTACACATTTTTATTTTATATTCGTGTGTTCTTTGGGGCTTTAAAGATCAGAGTATGTAGTGACATCTGCCCATGTATCCAATAACATCAAGAATGACAATACAAGCACAGAGAAGTATGTATGTTTATCACAAACAGCAATTATGAAAGGTAGGCAATTTAATTACATGGTTGTTTTAATGGGTTTCTATTATGTGATAACATTTGTGCTATAGAATTGCTCCTTTTCCGCTTTTGTAGCTACTTATTTACCTTTAAAGAAACCTCTTCACTACCTGAACCAATTGCACTGTTGTCACCAGGACTGGAATTGGCAACAGAGAAATAAAAGAAATAAAAAACACAATTTAAAAAAAGTTTGTCTAGCATTACAGTTTAAAAAACAGAAATTATGCAATTTAGATCAGATATATAGGAATCACATTTCTTTTAAAATAATGTGCCCATTTGCAATATATGATTTTATTCATAGGCTCTATCAACAGATGTTAACCTCCCTCAACCACTAACAAAAATGTATCTTATTTGTGTATCACTCAGCTGCAGGTCCTCAAATCATATCTGGATGCATACTGACACTGTCCTTCCTTTGGGAGGGTGGCTACTTTTGTTCCCCATGTTCCCTGTGTGGTGTTTTAAAGTAGCCATCGCTCTAAGCTTGCTCCCGTGATGGACTACAATCTCACGTTTAGTAATTTGTATTGAGATTGTAGTTCATCACCTGAGCAAGCTTGGAGCGGTGGCTACTTTACAACACACGCAGGGACCATGGGGAACAAAAGTAGCCACCCTCCAGAAGGAAGGACAGTGTCAGAACCAATTCAAATATGATTTGAGGATCTGCAGCCGAGTGATACACAAATAAGATACATTTTTGTTAGTGGTTGGGTACTTGAATGCATTTTTAGGATTTAACTCCTGAGTTTAGTGTCACTTTAAACAAACAGCATAGCAAGTGCAGCCTTGTACATTTGCTACAGGCAAACATTTTGTGAGATAGGCATGCTTAGGTGTAATACATTTGGCTAATTGCAATAATATTAAACTATGGAAAAGCTTGCACTTTTGCAAAATGAATTAGCTGTGCTCACAAAGCATTACAAAGTTTTATGTAATCCCTCTGGCAGTGTGTCTGAAAATATTGCACCTACCTCCAACTTCCTTATGTAATCACATGTTCAGAAAACTCAAGATGTGAAATATGTTTTTTTTTGTAGTCTAAAACAAAATCTTAAGAGTTAATTTACCAGTTTTCACTGTTCAATTTCTGCAGAAACCAGTAAATCTAGGTCAAACCGTTGCTTTTGTCTATAGTTGAGATATGTAGTGCTTGTTAAAGCTTGCTGTTTACAATGCAGCAAAGGAAGCAATGAAAGTGATAAAGACTGGTAATAGACCTGAATGACAAACATATATCTAACATCCACTCAGTGGCGTAACAACTGGGGGTGCAGCAGGGGCGCGGGCCCCAGGCGAAAAGTGACTGAAATGCCGAAAGTGACATTTTCCTGCCGTTTTGCCGGCGCGGCCGGGATTCCTTTCATCCCCGCTGGGACACAGAGCAGTGCCCAGCGGGGATGAAAGGAATCAGAGAACTGTACTGTATAATACATTTTGCTTTTAGAATACTTGTATGGTTTTCTTTTTCAACAATCCAGCCATAACGTTTATGAGGAAAAAGATGTGTAGTTTATCTGATTAAACATCAATGCATGAAAAGTCAATAAATGCAAGAAAAAAACATTCTAATCAAATGTAATTCATGCAGGTTTGCGTGGGGGTTAAACTGAAGTTAAAGGGAAATTCTACCTTTTGTAAAAAATAATGAACAAACAGTTCTCACAAAAGAAAAGAAATGTGCATTTTTTGTTGCTTAAGAGCCAGTAAAGCATTGCACCCACGGACAGTCGATCAATACTCTGGCCCCTGCAGATTCTTTCTTTGAGGTACGGACATTCAGTAACATGGACACGGATATGGATGGAGAGGAAGTTTCAATGGACTACAAGTGCAGTGATGTCACCACACTTGTATTCCATTAAGAACTACACGTCCCTCTGGTACTTGTTGATGGGATAGCTGATGGGATAGTTTCTTAATTCACAGATCCTGTCAAAGGATCTGTCAATGGGTGATGCACAGCCCTGCTGAATTCAAACATTTAAAAAAGCCTGCAGGGAGAAAAACCCCGCAATTCAGGTAAGTAGGGGGCCGGAGGGGGGTAGCGATCTGATCATGTTACACCCTCAATACGGTAAACTTACCTTTTAACATTTACATTAAAACAATTCGAGTATGAAAAGTAGCAGTTTACAGTACATGTAAACCCCAAGTGAATTAGATTTATTTTGCTAAAGCATCATGAATAATAAAAACTGTTGGCGCTATATAAATCATGAAGAAAAAAAAATTATAATAATAACAAAACAACAAATTGGCATAAAAAACCCTAAAATTATTTTTTCCATTCTGTGTTGCATATCTGATCTCCTACAGCCTCTTCACAGTCACTTCATGGCTATATGCATTCACTCCAGTGACTCCTGCATGTCATTTCTTATGATTGGTTTCCTGGTTGTAACAGCAATGAAGTATACCTCTACATTGCATGGCTGCTTGTAGTTTTAATTGGGAAAGCACTTGACAGTGCAGGAGAGATATTTGAAAACAGGGACAGAGTGTTGTCAACCCATAACAGGAACTGCTGAAGGACCTTCATGTCAGGATTAATGAAAGCTGCAGATTTAAAAAGCTGAAAATGACTTTTGAAGCTATACTGATATCTTAAAGATTGTATGACAGTTTAGGAATTTAGATCTACTTTATAAAAACGGAACCACAGTTTGCATAAGCCTACAAGGCCTATTAAAATACTACCAAACAAATATATCAATACACTTTTGCAACTGAGAAGCTGAACCTTAATATTATCTTATAGCAATGCATATGTTCCTGCTTAGATAATAACACGGTTATATATCAAATATGGATTGTGCTGGGTTTTTTTCTATCGGAGGCACTATGCACTGCTTGCTTTAGCTGTTATTATCTGTCAGCTCTGACTCAAGCTGATGATACAGTAGACAACATGTTCATGCTTGTTTCATTTATAAATACATTAAAAGGAATAACATTTGCCTTTTCAGACAAATATTAAGGGGTCTATTCACAAAGTTGCCGGCTGATCCTTCGGCTAGCTTCGACCCCAGGACCCCAGGGCTGCTGAAGTTGGCCGAGGGGGCTCAGTCGTGCCGAAGGCATATGCTTCAGCTTGACTGAGCCGAGGTGAAAGCCGAAGCTGGCCGAACGGCCGGCCGACAGCCTGCTACTGACTGCTGGGCGGAGTCAGCCGTCATTTCACGCCTGGCTCTGGCCACTTGCACAGACAGATCAGCGTCCCTGGTTACCGCGTAACCAGGGACACTGATCTCTAGACAGCCCAACTCTCCCAGACGCTCCGGGAGTCTCCTGGCTGCCCGGGAGAGAAACACTTTCTCCCGGAAACTTTTACTCTGCTCAATTGAGCAGAGTAAACCATTCCCTACTCTGTTGTCTTTTTTTTTTTTCTTCTGACATCGGAGCCGTTGGCTGCCATCATAATAAAAAAATTAAAAAAACCAGCATAGGAATGCATAGCTACCTTCCTATTTGCTATTTCAATTTGCAATATCCAATAGCAAACTAGCGATTGCACCCGCCCACTGCTGCTGTCAATCAGCAGAGGGGACCTGAAGTTCTCCATCAGGTCCCCTTGTAGTGATTGACAGAGGGCGGGTGCAATAGCTAGTTTGCTATTGGCTATTGCAAATTGAAATAGCCAATATGAATCTAGCTTTGCATTCCTATGGTGTTTTTTTTTTTTGTTCTGACGGCAGCAGAACCACCCGTCCAATAGAAAACAGTTGGGCGGAGCTGGCTGTCACTGCTAGCTCCAACTAATCGTTTTCTATATTATTTTTTCTACTTTTTTAACTGTTTTTCTATTCTGCTCGGTACCACAGAGGCAGCATTCGGCGGCATTCAGCGGCATTCGGCGGCATTCGGCTATTCACTCACTGCTGTTCGGCATCTATGAGAATAGGCCGAACAGCAGCGAGTAGCCTGCCGGAGGTTCGGCTCAGCCGATCCAGATGTTGGATCGGCTGAGTCGAACTCCTTTTTCACTTCGGCTCAGTCAAACATTCTGAACATGTTTGGCTGAACCGAAGCTTCAGGTGGTATTGCATTTCATTAATTCGATGAAAAAGTACCCCCGCAGATTGATAAATAAGATAAAATAAACATCTATTTGCACAACAAACTCAACTACACAGATTCTGTTCTTAGGGTACCATTGACTGTGTGTGGGCTCTCAGAGACTTAGAAGCTTTCATCTGTTTTTCCTTCTCAGCATATAACCCTTGCATGAAAATGCTATGGGCTGTTTGCAGTACACATTGATACTGAGCAGTTATAAGCACGTACGTGTCAACAATTATCCGCACTCTGGTTATAAGCAAACTTCTGTCAGCCGTGCTTTCCGTTAAAGGCTACTGTCTCCCCAGTCACTGCTGTGCAGATGTGAACATGTTACCTCAATTCATTTGTAACTGCGGTGCGAGGAAAAAAATAGATGCCCCACTTGTGATTTGCAGGAAAGAAGAGCTGCGTGCAGTGATTCATTTTTTTGTGGTTTGACAGTGCTTGTTACAGTGAGGTGCTCATTGACAACCTGAAGCCTAAACTTCAGATTAAACACAGAGGACT